TGCTGTGACTGCAGATTGCATCCCTTGCATCCCAGGTAGGGAGCCCTGCCCAGCCAGACTTCCCCACATCACCCAGGTGATGCCTAGTCAACTTCCTGCCAGTCTCCATCTGAGCAGCGCCCCCACCTGTGGGAATAGGGGAAGTGTTCACAGACGTGCTTAGCAACCCTTCAACTTTTCTGTGCATTTGAAACTTTTTCAAAATAAAAACTTAGGGGAAAAATTATTAAAAGACCAATTAGATAATATTTAACATAAAAAGTGCGTAACTTTAATATACAAAGCATTCTTACAGATCAACAAGAAAAAGACAAATGAGGGCCGGGCGCGGTGGCTTATGCCTGTAGTCCTAGCACTCTGGGAGGCCAAGGCGGGAGGATTGTTTGAGCTCAGGAGTTTGAAACCAGCCTGAGCAAGAGCAAGACCCCGTCTCTACTAAAAATAGAAAGAAATTAATCGGACAACTAAAAATATATAGAAAAAATTAGCCGGGCATGATGGCACATGCCTGTAGTCCCAGCTACTCAGGAGACTGAGGCAGAAGGATTGCTTGAGCCCAGGAGTTTGAGGTTGCTGTGAGCTGGGATGACGCCACGGCACTCTAGCCAGGACAACAGAGCCAGACTCTGTCTCAAAAAAAAAAAAAAAAAGAATTAAAAGACAAATGAGGCGATTTTTTTAAAATGTGCCAAAGAAATAAACAAACCCAAAGAAACATTTTAAGACCAACAAACAGGTAAACATACATTCAACCTTACTTGTAATCATATAAATGTATTTCTAAAACAAGAAATAGCATTTGTCACCTACTACATTTGAAAGGATTTAAGAAAACAAATAGTGCTGGCGAGGTTTGGCAAAGGTGTGCTCGGTGCAACTTTCCTGAGCACGGTTTAGTAGGACGTAGACATCAAACATGTTAACTGTGTCTCGGCCCTGTGCTCCTGAGTTCTGCCACCTTCAACAGTATCCAGAGTGGCTGCATTTGTGGTGCCACCGACAGTGCTTCCAGAGTCCATCCCAGCCCCTGGCTGACTCCTGCTGCCCTGTCACCTCCTGAACATGGTGCTCTGTGTCCTGGGTGTCATCATCTGTATTTCAAAGGCCATTTCCCCAAGAGCAGCGTACATGGCAGGCCATGAGCGTTTGAGGTGGGGCACCGTGGGGGAGCATGATGGAGCAGAACAGGACTCAGGCCTGATGCTTCCTCTCAGTGATGCTCCAGCCCCCACCCCGCTCCTCAGCTGTCAACTCCCACTTGCCCACACTGCGCGAGGATTTGAGCCCAGTTCTGTACGGAGGTCTCTAATCCCCTATTGCAACTGTCCTCAGTAAAATCTGCTCTCACCTCTTTAACTACTGTCCAACTCTGGTTTTTCCTTGATGTCTCCTTATCTTCCTTGAGCCTTCAGTAGCATTTGGCATTGCTGATCACACCTCGGTCCCCTTCCTGAAATTCTCTTTTCCCTTTGTTCGTTCTGTGAGTCCACTCCCTCCTTCTTGTTTAGGATAAAATGTAAACTCTTCTGCATGGCATACCAGACCCCTGCTGGCCCCTGCTGCCTCCTCTCCCGGAGATCCCTCCCCACGCCCCTCTCCTCAGCTCCCAAGCATGCTCTGCTTCTCTCAAGACACCTGGCTTTGCACTGCTGCCTAGAACACCCTTTATGTCTTCTCTTCCTCCTCCTCAATCATGCCTATTCCATATGGAGCAGTTTTTACATCAAGCATTATGTAAGGACTTCACAACTGTACCAACAAGGGATCCATTGCAGAAAACCCCACTTAGAGTGGCTTAGGCATTCATGAAAGGAGAAGTTCAGAGAAAGTGTCCAGGGCTGACATGGAAGTTCATATTCCATCAGGTCCCCAAGTTCTTCCATCCTTAATGTGTAGGCCCCAAACTCATGTTTGTGCCTCATGCTCACAATATGGCTGCTGTGTCTCCAGCATTCTATCCTCTTTGTAGGTAGAAGACAAGAAAGGGGCAAAGAGCTTTCTCCTAGCAAAGTAAACCCTCCACAGGGACTTGGAGGTGGCCCTGCTCCACGTGGAGATGGCCAGACTCATGGAGCTCTATAGCATCACATTAGGGGACAGAAGCAAATCAGCAGGTCCCCAGAAGACCCACCATACCCGAAACAAGGAAAATGTTGGTACGTGGTGCAGTCAGTTCAGAGCACCTCCTGTGGGCTGCGGGTGTCTCTAACTGACTGCACTGCCCCTGAGGCCCAGCGGCTTCCCTGGATGGAGACTGAGCCCTGCAGTGTTCCTCCCAGGGCATTGGGGAAGGGAGGAATAGAAAATCCTCTGCAATGTGGTTTCTGTTAGCGCAGCTTCAGCCATGGAAGGGGCTCCTCCAGTCAAGCAGGAAGCAGAAAATATCAGATTTAGATCCCACATTCCATGCATTGTATACAATTATGCGCTGGAGCCACATGGGACACGTGGGACCCACAGAGGCAGAAAATGGGATTGCTTTCTAGGATGGGGTCACTCTTTCATGGGAAACCAGCTGTATTCTTGACAGGTATGCTGAGCCCCCGTGACGTGCAACCTTGGCAATCCTGGGGCCAGGGGTGAGTGAGCCCTTCTCAGTAGCTTACAAGGCATTGGTGACAGACATGCTACCAGCTCTCTCAGTGAAGGGGAGTCCCCTTCTTTAGAGCTCCCCACCTCTGCTTACCACTGGAATGTAAGTACTTCTCTAGACCTTCCTAGGTGGGCTCACCCCAAGTCAGCTTCCTTTCTTCCTATACCTCGCACATCAGTCTCCAGCCCAGGCTCACCTCCCGGGGTCCAGGGCCATAGATCCAATCACCTCAGTGTCCCTAGGCCCTCAAACACCACCTGTCAAAAACAGAACTCATCGTCCCACCAAAAATGTGCTGCTTCTCCAGGTGCCCTGCCACAGAAAATGGTCCCACTGCCCAGCCACTCCCAGGAGCCAAACCATAGTGGTATCTTAACTCCTCTCACCCATACTCATTCGATTTCTGAGTCTTGACCACTTCTACCTCCTACGACTCTCTCTCACCTGTCCCCTCTTCTCCACCTGGGCAGCTAATCACCCCTAGTCCATGCCGCCATCATCTTGAGTCTGGACTGTTCTGCTTATCTTCTTGCTCTCAGCACCACGTGCTCCGAACCCCTGTCCACAGCTTACCTGGTCAGCCCCCCCTATGTCCACAACCCTCCAATGGCGTCACGTTGGTAAAGCCCTAGGCTTGGTGCACGAGGCTGTCCGTGCCCTGGCTCCTGCTTGCCGCTTCCCCATACTCCCTGATGTCCTTTTCTTGTCTCTAGGTCTTCATGTACAATATTCCCTCTACTCTACCCATCAATTCTTCAGGTTTTACCTTGGTCTTTGGCATCTTTAGGAAGCCTTTTCTTACCCCTACCCACTCCCCAAGTATAAGGGTAGAGAAGCCCATTGAAAGCAGCAAAAGTGGCTTATTCACTGTGTATTCTTGGCAGCCAGCGCATTGTGTCTGTTAGACAAAGGTTTGCGCAATAGTGACTGCTCAACTGGCTGGCACTACACCCAGACTCCTGGAATGCTGAGGCCCATACTGTCTTCTGCCCAGACACTGAACTCCCTTCCTCTAAAGTGGGGCCCATGGAGGACTATTTGCAACACCAACCCTGCCCCAGGAGGGGGCAGCAAGCCAGCAGAGCCGACAGCTGCTCTGGCCACACATCTCAGCTCTTCCCTGCAGCCTCCACTGTGCTCCCTCAGAACTTTCATTCATTCAGCCATCTTTCCACTCACTATTGCTAATCTTGTCTATAAACAAATTTGAAACAAACCCAATAAGGCATATGAATGCATTTGTTCGAGAGATACATTGAGGAAAGTCATGTTTCACATTTTTACTGTAGGATTTCTTCACTAAAATCAAATGCAGGCAATGCTGTCGGTGGTGATGATGATGATGGTGGCTGGGAAGTTTAGGAAAAGTGGCCAATATCACTCTGTCATGAATTCTGGTGTGGTTAAGCCCAGCTTCTGCAGCTTTTTGTCCCTGGGGCCCTCCATGGAGAGAGCAGCAGAACAGGAGCAGCGCTTTCTCCTGGCTCTGTTTCCAGACTCACTGTTTCTTTTCCTGGGCTACTTTGGCAGGTGACACGACCTCTCTGTTCTTCACACTATGGAGAGGTGAATCTGTTATGAGAGAGTCTATTACATCTGCACGCCTCTACACCTAAGCCCCCTTTGGCGGAGAACTAACCCCAGGGCCCCATTGACCTGGCCCAGCTGGGGACACACAGGTGGCCAGGAGGCCTCCACCCAGAGCTCCGACCACCACCAGGGAGCGGCTCTCTGAAGATCCTCTGTGGGGAGAGTACCTGCCAGATACAGGGTGCACAGACCGTAGGCAGGAGAGGAATCCCGGAGAGAGGGCAGGGAAGGAAGCCGCAGACAGCGAGTTCATGGGCGCACCCTGAGAGCACAGGCTGGGCTGCGGCGCGTCGCGGTGTTCCCTGTGTAGCTCCCAAAGTCGACGGGGCCTGGACAGAGTCCCAGTTTAGTAGATATTTGTTGACCGGCTGGATGAATGAAAACGCCATGGGGGAAGGCGGGATTAGCTCTGCACTGGGACTAGCTGCAGAAACAGAGCCGAGTCCCGTCTGGTTAGCGGGTAAACATTATGGCACCACGAACGCACTGACTGCATGCCCCGCATGCCAGGTCCCAGGCTAGGCGCTCTACAGGTGGTTGCGGGGGGTGCGGCTCAGCTCGGGGACTCAGCTCGGGGACTCAGCTCGGGGACGCCGGGAGAGTAGAGCTGCGCAGGCTGACCGCCCCCCTGCGGGGACAGTCCCCAGCACTGCCCGTCCCGGGCCACCCAAGGCGCCGCATTGCGCGGCCGCGGCCGCAAGGGGGCGCGCCAGGGCGGCGGGAGGGGCGCGGCCGCCCGGAGCCGGGGGCGGGAACGCGGCGACGCCGGCGCTGCCCGGTCCCGTGACTGCACGCCCCGCCCGAAGCCGCGGCCGCCGCTATGCAGTCCCCGGCGGTGCTCGTCACTTCCAGGTGAGCCAGACCCCCGCGCCCGGCGCCGGCCTCGGGCAGCTCGGGGTCCCGGGGGGAGGGGCAGGCGGAGGCGGCCCCCCCCGAGGGTCCGTGGCCCGCGCGGGTCTCCCCAGCGACCTCGGTAGTTTGTCCGGGCTGGGCCCCTGCAGGAGAGGTGGCCCCGGTGGTCCAGATGGGGAAACTGAGGCCCCCTGGAGGGTAAAGAGCTCACCCGAGACCCAGTGGGGTGCCTGGGACGGGCCGGTTCCGTGCAGACGGGCAGAGAGGAGCCTCTGTTCCCCTTCCCTGCCCACTTGGGCTCTTCTCTTTGGGCCCGAAAGTTTACTTCTCCATCCTTTCAGCGCTCAGGTGTGCCAGCCCGGTGCTCACACTGGGACCAGGGTGAGTCAGACGAGCCTGGCACTGGGGGGAGCCCTGCGGCGGTGGGGGCGATGGGGCTAGATGCTAGGAGGAGGTCTTAGGTTCAGGTTGCCATGGGAACACAGACCCGGGCAGGACCCGGCTTCTGGGAGGAGGCGAATGAGGCCGGGTCCTGCAGGATGAGTGGACGGTGACCAGGTGGCGGGGAGAGGCGAGGAAGAGGTGGCAGCTGCTCCAGGAGGCAGCTCAGGAGACGTGCAGGTTAGCGCCCAGGCCGCGGAGGGGCCGCCCTGATCCAGGCCTGGAGGACCCAGCACAGGCTGGATCCTGGGAAGGCTGGGAGGGTCATGGTTTTATTCTTTAACTCTGGTTTAAAAAGCTGTAAAGTGTCTCACTTCAAGTATTTTCATATACTCCACCCTTGTCCCCCTTACACAAAATCTTGGACTAAGGGGCCAGTTTATTAGATCAGCGAATGTGTTACCCAGCCCAACCGTTAATCTTCCTGTTATCTGGAATTCCGATCTAGAAAAACATTCTTTTTGCAAACCTTGATGTCAGAACCTGCTTGGTCTCTGTATGATAGACCTCGGTTACAGGTTGCACCTTCGTGGGCAGAAGAGGTTTCCCTCCTGCATGCAAGTCAGCCGCTCTCACTGAGCCTCAGTTTCCTTTTCTGCAAGTTGGGGGATTGACATTGGCAGGCATCAGCAGCAGCAGATGCCCCTCAGCCACACGGAGACGGATGGAGTGTGACGCTGGTGCTGGGTGCTTGGGAAGCAGGGTGAGCGGCTTCCCTCCCCGCCGGACCTGGACACAGCTTGTTAACAGACACGGGGGTGCGGGTGGTAGAGGCCCAGTGAGTCGTGGTCATTCCCAAGAGGCTCACCTGCAGGGTGAGTGCAAATATCACGGCCGGCCGGCTGGCCCTTGCCTTCCCCTACCCCCAGCTCCTGTTTCCAGCCTAGCCTCCTCCCACGTGATGTCACCACCTGCATGCATGTGTGCCTTCAGCCAGCAGGTGTTTATTAAGGGCCCTCTCTGTGCCAGGTACTGGTCCAGGTTCTAGGAGACAGCAGTGAGCCAAACCTGGAACGCCAGTGGGGACAGACGGACAGTAGGCAATATGTAACATGTCAGGGATGGTGAATGCTGTGAAGGAATGAAACGGTAGGGGCCATAGAGTGCTAGGAGGAACACGTGCATCTTGTGTGGTGTGGCTGGGGACATCTTTCTCGTAGAGTGGCCCCTGGGAAGATCCCTGACAAGTTCCCCGAAGGAGAGAGCCAGAAAACAGAAATCTTGAAAAATGTGTATCCAGCTGTGAGGGCAGCAGGAGCAGAGGTCCTGGGGCTGCTGTGGCTGCAGTGGGGTGAGTGGGGTTGGGGGGCTGTTAGGTGACACAGTGGGAGCAGGGGACAATCAGGAAAGGCCTTGTAGGCCATCGGATTTCATTCTGAGCGCGATGGGACCTGACTTCTGTTTTACAGAGATCCTTTGGCCGCTGTGTTGAGCGTGGACTGGGGCTGGGCCTGGGGTCAGGGGGCTGCAGGCAGAGGTGGCCAGGGAGTCTCGCCGTGCCCTTGGTGGTTTACTCCCTTCAGGAATCTGCACAGAGCCCCTGGTGGGTTGGCCCAGGGTGACAGCAGCCACGGAGGTGAGAAGTATCTGTGTTCTGGATATATTTTGAGGCTTGAGCTTCCAGGTTTGCTGCTGCTTGGGTGTGGGATGTGAGGAGGAGGAAGAGGAGTCAGGAGTAACTGCAAGGCTCCTGTCCTAAGATGCTGAAAGATCAAAGTTGCTGTTTCCCGGGACGGAGCAGATATGGGGGAAGGTGGGCATCGGTGTTTGTCTAGACATGTGCGTTTAAGAAGCGTGTTGACAGCCCAGCGGAGATGTCAGGCAGGCAGCCAGAAGGGGGCCAGCTTTGAGGAGAGGAGAATCTGGGCTGGAGAGAGGAATTTGGGAGCCCCTGGCTGGTGAATGGCATTTAATGCCTTGAACCTGGATGAGCTCACCTGGGCGGAGCGCTGCGAGAGGGCGCGCTGGGTGCCATCAGGGAACCATCCAGAGAAACTGAGCAGCTGTGGCCAGGAGAAGGGGAAGAGCCACGAGGAGTGGGGTGTCCCACAGCCCGTGAAGGCAGAGCTTCAGGCAGGGAGCTACTGACTGTGCCAGGTGCCACTGACAAGTCAGGGAACAGGGGCAGTGAGAACTCACCTCTGGATTTGACAACACAGAGGTCACAGGTGACCTGGGTGCTGGCAGTTTGTTGCACAATGAGAACAAAAGTCTGGTTGGAGGAGAGGAACTGGAGCCCGTGAATATGGGCCACTCGTTTGAGGAGTTCTGCTGGAAAGGGGAGGAGGGAACTGAGCGAGGGGAGTGTGGGGTCAGAGCGTGGCTTCTGTCCCAGGCAGGTTGGAGTGTGACTGCATGCTGGTGACAGCGATCCAGTAAGGCGGGGAAATTGATGGCGAGGAAGAGAGGGGAGCACTCAGAAGCCATGTCCTTGAGTAGCCAAGAGGGGCTAAGGAGGGCCAGGACTGGCCTTAGGAGCGGCCAGTCTGTCCACAGTCCCAGGAGGGGACAGCGTATGCGAGACAGGTGCCGGCTGAGTGGCGAATGTGATGGTGAAGCCCAGGATGTTTTCTCATGGTGCCCGGAGCAGCACAGAGACGCACCAGCATCACCTGGGAGCTTATTAGAAATGCAGACTCTTGGGCCCACCTGTGGGACCAGACTCTGAACCCCAGGGGCTTGTACACTCGGTACAATTTGAGAAGCTTGGTCGAGGGCACAGGTGTGGGTCAAATTGTGCCCAACACACCCCCATTTGTTTATGTATTGTCCATAGCAGCCGCACCCGAGACCACATAGCCTACAAAGCCTAAAATATTTACTCTCTAGCCCTGTGCAGAAAGTTTCCTTAGGGGCTTAGGGAAGCGGGAGAGTGACTGGATCAGGCCCAGGCGCATGGGAGTCGCTGGAGGGCGATTCTTTGCTAAAACAAGGATGCAGCCACCCCAGGCCTTTTATGCAGTGTCCCAACTTCCCCACAAGTTCCCAGGCAAAGCGATGCTGATCAGGGACCAACTTTGAGAACCCCGCGTCTAGGGCAGCTAGGGTTGCCAGGCCTGGCGTGGTGATAGCCTTGGAGTCTGTGGCCTTGAATTTCTGGTGGGACCAGGTGGCATGCTTGTGCCATGTCTGTCCCCTGCCACAAGCTGCCTGGCACAGGGCAGAGGAAGCACAGGACTGGAGAAGCCGGCTTTTCCCAGGCCAGGTCAGCCCTGGGCGAGAAGTCGGGGAGCTAGGGCCTCAGCAGAGGGTTCCAGCAGGGGAGTGGGACTCTGGGACGAGGAGGGATCATGGATTGGGGGTTCTGGTGCGGTCAGAGAACCGTCAGACATGGGCCCTGCCAGGGAGCTGGACCTTGGGAGGCCCCCTCTGTCCCCTTTTCACCCCGAGAGGCCATCCCCTCCAGCTCAGGTGACCTCTTTCTGGTCACTTCACCCACTTGTGCTTAGTTTCCATAACGATCCTAAAGAAACAATGCCTGGTGCTTTCTCATGCCCTGTGAGAGGCCCCCGGGCTCTGGAGCCGCCGGGATTGCACCCTGGTTCCACCCTATACCAGCTGAGACCTTGGGTTGGCGACTCCTTTTAGGGCCCATTTCCCTGTCTTTTAAGTGGGTCTGAGTTGCAGAGCTCCTTTGCAGGGCTGCTGGGCGGCAGCGGCCCCAGGCACAGGTGAGGTGCTCAGGCTGCGTCTGCTGCGGTTCCGTCTCGCCCTTTTCTCCCGCGCCGTGATGGCAACGGTGTGTGGCACCAAGCCACGGGCACACACCCTCTGAGCGCAGCGTCATCTGGCTGCTGACAAGGAGCGCTGATTGGCTTAGGAGCCTTTCACCTCACAGCCTGCAGCTGGCCCTCTTGTGCCCTCTGGCACCCTGGTGCAGGCCAGCCCTGGTCTGCATGAATGATCGTGCTCCTCGCAGCCTGCACTGTGCCGCGGGAGAATGTTCCTCGAGTGGACCACGTGCATGGTCACTGGGTACGCACACACGGCACAGGGAGGCATGTTGTGTAGGCCTCCCCAGTCGGTGACAGCGGCATCTTGGTGACAGCGTCCCATGCTTAGCAGGGGATGCGAGGAGTCTGTGCAGAAGGGGTGCTGGGGGAGGGCTCTGGTAATTCCAGAGAGGGAAGGGCCTTGCCCCAGGCACAAGTTTAAGCTCCAGAAGCTCCTCCCTGCCCAGGGCCTCAGCCCTTGTGTTCTGCCCAGCGCACAGCTGGTCTCACCTCGATGATCAGAGCGTGCTCGGCACGTCCTGCCAGAGGTGTTGATGTGAGGGACGTTAGTCCGCACAGGTCTGTGTCACACCCTTGTGTGTGATGAAGGATACATCGGACATCTTTTCTCACTTCAGAGAAAATGCCACACCACTTCTTTGCTCTCCGTACAGTTCAGTATGTTTGAATTGCATTTTAAAAATTTCCCAAGAGCCCTGGTGTTCAGCTGGCATCCTCCCAGCACCCGAGAGGGAAGTATCAACTGCCCGGATGAGGCCGGGGAGGGCCCCACGGCTAGCGCCCGGCCCGTTTCCCGTGGGAGGGCCCTGCAGCGGCTCCCTGCCTCTGGCCTGCTGGAGAGAGGCGCCTCCCGCCAGGTGCCCGGGGGAGTTTCCTTCCTGGGTTGTCCACACAGACCCAGGTACTTCCCTTGGTCTGAGTAGATCACTGGGGATGCTGCCTCCGCCGGTTCTGCAAAGCTCACGAGCACTCAGCTGTTTGTGATTTTCAGCAGTCCCCGTCCTTCCCTGTTTTGCTGCTGGGAACAGACCATTTGCCCCTGAGCAGCCAAAGGCAGGACCAAGCCTGGGGCCTGGGAAGCCAGGCTTCATGAGAGGCTGGAGTGTGGTGGGACAGGTGGCCTGGAGCAGCGACCACCGAGGACCCTGAGGACGGCCAGCAGAGCAGCCTGGCACCCAGGCCTGCCAGGCCACTCCGAGATCCTGCCCACGTTTCCCTTGAGAAGTCCGCAGACTGGAACCTCAGCTTTGTTTGCTCTTTTCCTCTGGCAGGCGAGTGCAGAATGTCCACACAGGCCTTGACCTGACAGTGCCCCAGCACCAGGAGGTGCGGGGCAGGATGATGTCCGGCCACGTGGAGTACCAGATCCTGGTGGTGACCCGGCTGGCCGCATTCAAGTCAGCCAAGCACAAGCCCGACGATGTCGTCCAGTTCTTGGTGAGCTGGGGGCTCTGGCCAGGAGGCTCTGAGGGTGCTGGGGTCCAGGTGGGCATACACACCTGCCCACCAGGCGTGAGTAGCATCAGGGTGGGCACTTCTCTATCCACCCCTCGCTCGGGCTGGAGTGCCTGACCATGTCGGATGATGGGGACACAAGAGCCAATCAGATACTGTTAGTCCACGGGTGCCAGGCTTGTAAAGAGACGGATACAGACGGTGACAGAAGTACATGGGGGCTCTGGGGGTGTAGACAGGGGGCATCTAACCCACCCTGGGTAATAGATTCCAGAAACTTCACAGATGAGTTGAGGGCTGAGCTGTGTTTTAAAGAGCAGGTGGAGCTCAGCAGAAGAAGAGGGGAGAAGGGTGTCCCAGGCGGAGGGCACAGCCTAAGCAGAGGCACAGAGGCTGGAGGTGGGTGTCGTGTGGGGAACTCTGAGCAGTCGAGCATGGTCCTGGCATGGAGTGGGAGAGGAGGGTGGTGACAGGCAGGAGCTGGGTCAGGGAGCGCGTGCGGGGCCTGGACCTGTCCTGCAGCCAAGGAGGAGTTTCAAGCAGGGGAGTCACATGGTCACATGCTCCCATTTGCCTTTAACCAACCGGTCTGTGGGGAGCATGGAGTTGGATTAGAAGGAACAGTCCCCAAGTGAGGGCTTGGAGCAGGCCAGTGGTAGTTGGTGTGGAAGGGAGGGAGAGAGTTAGAAATATTTATACCCACTGAGATAAAGAGAACCTGTACCCTGGCAGATCTGAGGGGGCGTGTTGAGTGTGACGTGTCCACCCGATGGACTTATACACGAGGCCGGTGCTCTGGACGGGGTCAGGCCTAAGATGCAGGTTTGGGAGACATCAGCTTGGAGGTGATGCTAAAAGCCATTCCCAAGCCTGGGAGTGGATGCAGTTGCCCAGAGAGCAGATGTGGGGGGTGGAAGAAGGGTTGAGGAGGGAATCCTGAGGACACCAGCAGGCCCGTCAAGAAGGGGGAGTCTACAGGTGAGGCAGAGGGGGGAGAACCGGGCGACTGTGGAGTCACAGGAGCTGAGGGAGGAGAGGGCGTCAAGAAGGGCTGAGATCATGACTTATTATTTACCGTTTGCCTTTTATAAAAAGATCCTGGTGCAGGGCCCAGGAGAGTCAGGCTACAGGATTACTGGGACAAGGTGAAATGAACTAGAGCTGCATGGTACAGAGGGGAGCAACCTGCTGCAGGCTTGCACACGGGCTAGCTCTGAATCTCCTGGCAGCCAGGACGAAAAGGGAAACGATGAATTGCGTCGCTCTGGTGACCTGTTGAAAGAGACACTAAATTTTAAGAAAAATTTATGGCACAGATCTTTCTTTAAGGGACTTCCAGCAACATCATGGGAAGTGTCTAAAATAGCAGTGCGGTGTCTCGTTTCATTGCTCCTGAGACCGGCTCTTGGCAAGAAACAAGGTGTGTGGTTAGGGTCTGTTAGGGTGCGGTTCTGGGTCCACATTGCTCCTGTCGACTCAAGTAAATGACAGAGGCAAAAATCTCAACCACTGGAGGTTTATTAAACCAAAATTGAGGACACACCTGGGAAAAACAGGAACTACAGACAAGCCATGGCCGTTTTTCCTGAAGGGGAAGGTGGAACTTCAGCATTTTAAAGGCTATAGAGAGAAGGAAAAAGACAGTGGGGGGTGGGGGTGTGATAAGGCAAAGTGGTTACATTCTTGTGAGGCCCAGGAAATCTACATTTTACATAAAATAAGGGGGATGTTAGAAGGGAAAAGGAGAGTGAAGGAAGCTTCAATTAAGTAGATGTTCCTGGATAGGTGGAAGGATGCTGGATTCCGTGTCTTCAGTTTCGTTACCTGTAAAGACAAACTTGTAATTCATTATTAGTGTTATTAGTAGAGCAAACTTTAGTTTTAGGTGCTTGACATAGGTACAATTTGCATGTCCTTGCTTATGGGGGGTCAGCAAGGAGTTTCCTTAATGAATGATCTGTGGGGCCAGCTCTTCACAGGTGCCTGAGCCCCTTACCTGCTGTTTTGCATAAGGAGTTAGGGGGGAGGCCCTGAGATTTTGATTTTCTGTTTACATCCTGAGAGTGGCTGAGCTCTGCAGGGCGGTTTGCAGCTCCTGGTGATCTGACTGGATCGAGGCTGGGGCTCCGCGCACCCATGCTCTCAGACGCGGAGAGTATTTGAGCTTGATGTTGGAGGGCAGGCGGACAGGCAGCATTCTGGGAGCCTCGAGGAGCTCCAGGCCAGCCTGCTCCGTCCTGAGCAAAGGGCTGGTCTCACATGCTGGTGTTCATGAGACTGCCATTAACACCTCCATGTGTCACACCAGTGCCACGTTTTCCTAGTCCGTGGCGCCCAAGCCCAGTGAAGTCTGTGCGTGTGTGTGCAAGGGCTTCTCATTTTGAAGTACCCACAAGGGCAAGAGAACTGCTTTATTTTTTGTGGGATCTGATAGTGTAGCCCAAGAGAGTGTGCCCCAAGCCTGAAATCTCTTTGAACTTTCATGATTTAGCTAAAAGAATTAGTGAGCATTTTGCATCTACTCCTTAAAGGGGCATATATGTTTTAATATACATATGTATTTGATTGCTAACCACGGAGTCAAAGTGGCCCCCAGGCAGGGGCTCTGTAGCGGAGGTTTTGCAGGCACACACACGCTTCTGTTGGGGGCTGTCTGCCCGGTGCCCGGCACACGGGGGCACCAGATGAGCGTGAGTTCCCACCCTCAGCTCCTTCCGCCCTCAGTGCCTCTCACTTGGCCTCCTCTGGTTGCTGGTGCAGGTAGCTACCTGAGAAGCCCTGGCTGCAACACTGATGGATGTGGGCCCTGTGTGGGGTCAGAACCCAGCCTCACAGCTCCTGGCCCTCACGCCGCCAGAGCCCTGGGGAAGGAGGCTCCCAGCACCCGGGACTGGCTGGTCTGTGGGCCGAGCCTGCGTGGAGCAGTCAGGCCAGCAGGGGGCGCTCGGCCCCCACCGTAGCCTGCCCTGCCTGCCTGGCTGGAGTCACCAGCTACTCCAGACAGCCCAGGTTGGAGCCTCTGTTACCAGCCACTTTGTGAAGGAATCCTCCTGCCTCTCCTGACAGCCGTTCTCAGAAAAGCTCCAGAGCCGGGCTCTGTGCTGACAGCTGCAGGCAGCAGCCCCCTGTCCCAGAAGACTCCCCGTTGAGGGGGTTCTGGAGTCCCCCAGTCACCTTCTGGTGTCTAGAACCTTCACAGGCGGAGGGTTCTGGGTGGTGTTGCTGGTGAGCCGCGTGCCGGCACTCCAGTGGTGTGTGGGGGTCCAGCCTGGGCCTGGGAGTGACCCAGCTTCATCTTCCACGCTCCACAGAGTCGGGGAGAAAGGCACAGCTATGGGGAAAGCACAGAGGAGCCCAGCGCAGAGGGTGGGCGCTAGGCTGGGGTGTGCATAGTGCAGGGGACTCTTCTCCGAGCGCCCGCACGTGGTTACAGACCATGGCGATAGCACTGAACCTGCCGTGCTGTCTCACGAGACCGAGAGCCTGTTGGGATGTCCCCGCGTGGAGCGTACATGCAGCAGGAGCTTACTGAGGGAGTGAGTGGAGACTTAGCTGCCTAGGAGTTGTGGGGAGAGATTAGCGGGAGGCGTGGTCACCTCCTTCACCCAGGTTCTGGCATGCAGAGGGGTCCTGGCTGACGGCAGGGCAGGCAGCCAGCTTCGGTGATATCTGCCTTCACTGCTTGCACCAACTGGACCTGCCCAAGGCTGCCGCTTGCTCACGGGAGGGTGATCAAGAGGTCTGTGCTGAGAAAAGGTGACTCACAGTGTTGCAGGAAGATGACCTGGCCACCTGCCAGATGGTGAGATCACCCTGCTGATGCGCTGGAAGCCTGGCATGGAGGCAGCTATGGCCACCTACAGGCCAGGCAGGGGTCCCTGTGTCAAAAGTGTCTACTTGGGACGTGACAGTGCCCGGAGCAGCAGCATTATTGCATCTTGGGCCATTAAGACATTTGTAACTGAGCCTGCCGTTGACTAGGAAGGTCAAGTACCAGAGCCCAAGGCAGGGAGACAGCACACTTCCCGTGGCCCAGCACAGCCTCCGACCTCTGGCTGGGGGGAGAGGAACGCCCCCTCTCGCTCTTCACTGAGAAAACCGCATGCTCCTCTCATTCCAGGTCTCCAAAAAGTACAGCGAGATTGAGGAGTTTTACCAGAAACTGAGCAGTCGTTATGCAACAGCCAGCCTCCCCCCGCTCCCCAGGAAGGTCCTGTTTGTTGGGGAGTCTGACATCCGGGAAAGGAGAGCCGTGTTCAATGACATTCTGCGCTGTGTCTCCAAGGATGCCGAGTTGGCAGGCAGCCCAGAGCTGCTAGAATTCTTAGGTACCCGAGGCGCTGTCCCGAGTCCCTGAGGTCTCCCCAGCCCAGAACTGGGCCTCGCTGCCCTGGCCCGGAGGGGGCGGGTCCACCACTGCCCTCTGTAGCCAGGAAGTTTCAGCCAGGCCGCTGAGGGAGGTGGGCCTTTCCGACCTCCCTGGGCCCGATGGTGGACAGGGGACCAGCCCTCGAGGGACTGACTTGACTGTCCAGGGTGAGATGGGGCTCACAGGGCGGCATCTCCACAGTGTGACCCCACCCCGGGCCTTCTTGGTCAGCCCCATCCCTAGAGGTTCCCTGACGCATAATCACACATGCAAATACCCGCCCACCTCCTGCCACCCGGCCCTGGGGAGAGTGGAGGGCACACCTCCAGGCCGAGGCACAGCCCCAGGGATCCAGCCCCTCAGTGACGGGGCCGGGCCCTTCCCATCAGTGTCCCACCCCCTCTTCCCTTTGCAGTTTTCTCATCCGTAAGATGGGGATAACCTGGCTGACGGGTGGTGGTGAGATTAAGTGGGCTCATACCTGTGAAACGCTTAGAACAGAGCACACCACACGGAAATGGTGGCTGAAGTCACACCCCCACCCCTCGGCACACCCAGAACCCCGGGCAGGTCCCCCAGTCTGGCCCAGACGCTGCCAGGGCAGGCCGGGTTCTCCCGTGCCCTCGGGGTGGAGAGAGGCCCCACTGGTGGTGCTGGACTCTCAGCCCTGACCGCTGCCCTCCTTGGATCGGTAGATCAGCCTATTTAGCTTTAACTCCTTTCCTGACTACTGTGAATCTCCTAGTTCTACAAAACAGAAGGGAATTTTGCAAAACAAAGTTGATGGCAAGTAAACTAATTGAAAAAGAAAAAAAGTCAGGGGCGGGCAGTAAAGAGCAAAGCCAGGGAATGTGCAGAAGGCCTGGGACTCTTATGTCCCCTCACAGGTCTAGGGTCCCTGAGATGTCAAGCTGTCTTGGCGCCCCTGTCGTGGAGAGAAAGCACAGAGGGGGCCAACCTCCCCAGCCACGCTGAGCCTCAGTTTTCTCATCTCTAAGATGCGGGGATAGTTAACGGTCTCATTCATAGGGTTTTGTGATATTTAAATGTAAAGTGCCTATTCTGTGAGGCTTATTACATGAAATTGAAGGATCTTGAGATTTTGACTGCTATTTCATGTTTGTCCAAATATTATAACAGCATAACATACAACATAATCATCATCACGCAGTACATCCTGTATGCCGGACACTGTAAGTTTTTTACTTACAGTGTGATTTTTTTAAAAAGTTGATGCTTTCAAATAAGCTACCCAGTAACTATTTGGATAGAGATGATCAAGTATTCAACCCACACTTCTCAAACTACCCGTGGGGGAGGACTGGCTTTCTCATTCCCAGCCTGTCACAGACGGATACTGTCATGAATACAGAATTGCATGCTGGGATGTGATGATAATGCCAAGCAGCTATGGAAGTTTCTGGATTCCTTTCTGTACTTACCTCATTGTGGACGCCTGTCTGCGACCACACTTCGAGAAGCACAGGTCTAAGCCCGTTTGTAATGGAGTGATCACAGTTTATTCTGGAATCTTCCACGTGCCCACTGTGCGCATGCATTGAGTTCACAGTCTCTGTCTGTTTGGACTGGCAGAGCTCCTTGCCATGCCTCACGGCTGTGAAGTGGTCCTGAAGGTGCTGGTTCTTCTTGAATCACGCTGTGCACTGTCTGCCCCACCGCCAGCCCGGTGGAGGCGGGCTCGGCTATCCTGCGGTGCAGACGGGCTCTGGGCTGCGGAGGTTCAGGAACCGCTGCCTCTGTCTTGTCCTGAAGCTCCGTCCTGTGCCCACTCCATCAGCCCTCGGAGGGCTGCAGCAGGCACTTGGCTGCCTCCGGAATGGTGGTTGCCTCCCATCCACGCAGACCTTGCCATCCTGGCTCAGGGAAGAGTTTGGTCCCAGGAAACTGCAGGAAGCCCTCGGCCTCAAATCCTGGGTGCAGTGTGGCGAGGCCTCCTCTGCCTCTGGGCTGGGTATGAAGCCCCTTCTTTTCTGTCTTCCTCCACAGGCACCAGATCCCCAGGGGCTGCAGGTCTCACCAACAGAGATTCCTCTGTCCTGGGTGACACACACAGCCAGGCAGGGGGCGATGAGGAGGCTTTTGACTTCTTTGAGCAGCAAGACCGAGTGGCGGGCGAGAGTCCGCCCACCCTGGGCCTGAAGGACAAAGATGTAGAGAAGTCCTTGGAGGAGGAGGAGGAGGAGGAGGAGGAGGTGCTGGATCCTCTGGGCATCATGCGGTAGGTCTCCCATTGTCGAGAGGGCCCCCTTCTGCCTATCCCAGGCTTTCTGGAAATGACCCCTTCCTCCCTCTTGCGGGGGTCCGGACCACGAGTCCTTGGCCTGGCATGCTCGGGGACTGGCTCTCTGCATGCCCTCGGCATCGCCCATGTCTTGGGGCCTGGGCTCAGGTATCACCTCCCCTCCCTGGTCATGAGGTGTCCCTTGCCACTGGCTCTGCACTGAGGCCTGGCAGAGGCCCTCACGACAGCTCAGTAGCCCAGGCTGCTGAACCCTCACTGGCACCAGGAGACCTGGGTTCTCCCGCCAGCCGTGTGACTTGCAGTTGTGACTGCAGCCCTCTGGGCCTACTTCGCCACATGCAGAGCAGGAGCACTCACCTCGGCCCTGCCTCCCCGCAGCGTGGCTGTAGGGTCCTCATGAGTCACAAGGGTGAAAGGGACTTGTGACCCACCGGTGCCAACTGCATGTGGTACAGGGAAGAGGAGTGAGTCCAGGAATACCCTGGCCAATGGACCATGTCCCCTTCACATGTGCATGCATGTGTGTGCACGTACACGCCCTACCATGACAGGGCAGAAGAAGCAGACCAGCCGAGGTCTCAGGACTCCCTCCTGGATGGTGTCCCGCTTCTCTTGCCTTTGTGTCCCTCCTCCTTTCCTGGCCTTCTGACTGCCTTCAGTCAACCAGTGAGCTGCTCCTGAGCCCCCACGGCGTGGACCCTACTCTGGGGCAGGGGCAGGTCAGATGAGGCGGCTGGGGAAGCAGACATTGCTCCCAGGGCCCCTCTGACAGACACAGACACAGCGAACCTCAGAGGTTCGCTGAAGTCCTCAGGGAACAGGGGAGGGAGCCCTGTCTTGCAGGTCCTGCTCTAGAAGGAATTAGAGCCAATTAGAAATCAGGCAGAGGCCGGGCGCAGTGGCTCACGCCTATAATCCTAGCACTCCGGGAGGCCGAGACAGGAGGATCTCTTGAGCCTAGGAGTTTGAGACCAGCCTGAGCAAGAGTGAGACCCTGTCTCTACAGAAAAATAGAAAAAATTAGCCAGGCATCGTGGTGGGCATCTGTAGTCCCAGTTACCCTGGAGGCTGAGGCAGGAGGATCACTTGAGCCCAGGAGTTTGAGGTGGCAGTGAGCTACGACGACGCCACTGCATTCTAGCCCAGGTGACAAAGTGAGACTCTGTCTCAAAAAAAAAAAGAAATCAGAGGCACGTTTAGCTGAAACGATGTGCAGAATGTGGTACTAAAACATGGCCCACCCTTCGCGGACCTTCCTTGCAGGGTGGCCGTGAGACCAGCATGGAGGGTTGAGGATTCACACTGGGGAAAGGTGCCCGGTGCTCAGGAGGCCACGGCAGAAACAGGGCTGGGGGCGGGGGCAGGGACCTGCAGCACCTAGGTGCATCGAGTGCCCCCCGCCAGGCCCCTCCCGTTCCTACGTAGCCTATGGCTGGCCTTGTCCTAGAACAGCAGGGTCAGCGGCCCTGAGGGAGAGGCAGCAAGGCTGGCGGTGATGTCAGGAGAAGCCTGGAATAGCCACTCCTTATCAGCCTTGTCCAAGCCCCGAAGGCCCTTCTTGGGCTTTATTTTGGTAAGGACGAGGCTTTGTTTGAACTCGGGCTCTCTGTTGTTCTGAGAAACCACACGTAGTGCCAAACTGAGATGGACCGTGGTGGTTCGCGCCAGCCTTTGGCTGGAGGACATGCTTAGCAAAGTGGCTCCTTTTTTGGGTAGGAAAATGCTCTTTGGGGTTGGCAAATGCTGCCTTGAATTTCCTACTTCATTAGCAGATTGTCAGGGATGATGTTGTCAGCCAGCCTGGGACCACCTGCCCCCAGCTGCGTCCCCTGGCTCTGTCCTCCGAGGGGCCTGGCCCTGAGTCCTAGGAAAGCTTAGCACCTAAGAGCAATCCCAGAGGCTTAAGACCATCTCCTCTCAGGTTTTCTTTTAAGGACCCATGTTACAACAGTTGGTATCATCACCTCCAGCAGGCATAATAAGTAACATTTTTTGAGAGCTCATTAAATGCCAGGAACCAAGTTAGCATTTGCTTGCATCATCTTATTTTATCTTTTAAGACAGCGTTTCTGAAAACGACTTGCTATGACCCACAGCAAAAATTACATTGCATGTCATGACCCAGGGTACACATGTATATATATGTCACGTAAAACTGAAGCAAAAGTTCCAGGAACGCATACAAGATCTTACTAAGTGTATTGTACTCTGACATTTTCTCTTCTGTTTCATATTTTGGAAAAGGTCATGACTCAAAGGTCAAACTGCTTTCAGGATCCATCGTGGGCACAGTTCAGGAAATGGAGCTCTTAAGAGGCCTGTGCTGGCAGCGCCTCATTTGTGTGTTAGGAAACTGCAGCCTGGGGTCCAGTAGCTCGTCCACAGTCGTGCAGCCTGCAGATGGCACAGCCCGGGCTTGCTGCCATCTTCAGTGCGGTCTTTGGGCAGTCTGGGAGGCGGGCAGGGCCTTCAGATCACCCCTTTCACATATGGCAAAATCAAGGACAGCTGAACGGGAACTTAGCCAGAGCCTGGTGTGTGGCAGAGTCGTGCCTTAAAGCCGGGTTTCCATCTCAGCCTTGCACGGACCCAGGGGGGCCTGTTGACAATTTCGTATGGTGCTACCACCTGCCCTTTGGTGGGAGGTGTTCTGTTCTTCGCAGGCGACTCATGTCCTGCGTGCATCCCTCCCCTCCGTTCCTCTGCAGACACGGCAGCCTTGGTTTCCCAGCCGTGCCCACCCCCCTTGCCCAAGCTCCTGTCTGGGCCTGGCTCTGGGCTTCCCTGGAGCAGGTACCGTTTCTGTGCTACAGGCCTGGGTCCTTCCCTGCCGTGACCGCGGCAGGGCGCTGTTGCTCCACCGCAGGGCGGCCTGGGCGGGTGGGAGTCGCCAGCACAAAGCCCAGCCCAGGCTAGCCTGGCTCTTCTTTGTCTCTTAAAGCTGGTTTTGATTAGGGCGGAGACGGGCTTTTACTCCATTAGAGAGCACTAAAGATAGAAAAGCCCTCACGGGCCGGCCCAGCCCGGGCCGCCCCGCCCCTCACCTGCTGGGGTTTGCCGACCAGCCGCGGCGCAGCCCTGACTGCAGACACAGTGCAGCCCCGCCGCGCACTCTGCGTTTTCCCCGCGCGTTCCGTCAGCATCTCCATTCCGTGTCGTACGTGGTTTTCGTGTTTAAGTCTGTGTTTTAGAGAAAATTGAAGTTCTACCCTAATGGTTCTGCCTTCTGCTGGAAATACTCTACTGGAAATGTTTTTCACTGTGACTCAAATAATACACAATTAGTATAGAAAAATTGAAAACTTGGGTAAAAGTCCTTTCCCCATGAATTTTTAAATTCACTTTTGAATGTTCACATCCTGTTACCAAAATGGGAGTGTGTTATATGTGCCATTCAGTAATTTGCTTTTTTTCAGCTTGTGCGTACTGTTTAATAGGTCTTTCCAGATCAGTAAATATCCTTGTCCCTTTGTACTCTGCTCGTCCCTTAGGGCGACGTGCTGTAAGTGGCGTTGCCAGGCCCCTGCTTGGAACATTGTGTTTTCCATAGGCTTTGGCTAGTTCAGGCAATGACTTGAGGAACTTTTACACATACAGAGCTTTAATTCTGTTTTTCTTTTCCCCCAGATACATGCAAGGCCTCCACAGCTTCCTCTGGGGACTTCAGTGTACCAGCCCAGTAAAGGGTTCTTTAAGGGCTGAAACCTCCTCTGTTGGGAAGGGCCCCCCTACTTTCACAAACCCTGCCCCCCAACAGTGCCTGCCCTCTCCCACCTCTTCCCTTGCCCTCTTTCCCTGTGCACAGGGCGTCCCCCTGCAGGCCCTGGGTCCCTGAGGACTCTCAGCTTCCCTCCAGGCCGGCTGGTTCCTGTATGAACGCACCTGCCTACAGGGCTGGGTTCCCGCAAAGGGGGAGCCGGCGCCCAGGGCCCCATGCCACAGCCTCAAGTGGTGAAGCTGGATGTTTCTTTGGAACGCTGTGTTTTACTGTAGTGTTTTTGTATGGATTTTGCATCATTTTCCATAAAATCACCACGTATATTTTAGTATAAAAATAACATCTTACTCTCTATATTTAGATGAAATCTCTGTTCTGGGGTGATTCTGTGGTTTGGAATGCCCTGGCACACTGCCAGGTGCCCCCAGATTTGCTAACCCAAGATGTAGAAGTGAGACAGTCCCAGGGTGAGCCAGGGAGGGAGCCAGTGGGGTTCGGAGCTGCTTCCCTTGGGTGCCTCTTGCTGAGTATCAGCATGGCGCCCCCGGGCTTGTGCCTCGTTATTCCTTCTGTCCAAGCCTGGGCACCCAGGGCTCCCCTTGGGGCCACCAGCACGGCAGGGACCAGCTAGGGACTCTGTACTGCCAGGAGCTCGGGAGAGATGTGGATTCCAGGCTCCCTCAACCTGGGGGACCCCAGATTCTGTGTTTTAACAAGCTCCTGAGGTGACTCTTGGGCAAGCTCCTGTTTGAGAAGCCCCAGAAACCAAACTCCATCAAAGTCCTGGAGATGCCAGAAGGGAACTAGGCCCCCAGCGTAGCAGGTCAGCCGTCATCACAGTCTGCCGCCCACCAGGGCCAGACAGAGGGAATGGGCAGGAAGGCCCTTCCTCGCTCTCTGCTCCCCACCTCCTCCTGCCCAGGCCTGGGACTTCCCTCTTCCACCAGCTGCCTGCAAGGGGAGCTCCCTGGTGTGCCGTCCTGGGGGCAGTTATTTGCTGTGTGGGGGCTGTGAGCCAGGGCGGCTGGGCCTTACCTTGCACCTTTGTGGCACTTAGCCCTGACCTGGCCAGGGACCCAAAGCCATGAGGAATGCAGGAGGTGGGCAACGCAGCCACCCTGCAACATCACACAGGTGACACTCCACCTGAGCTGTTCCAGTGATCACAACAGCACAGTGTGTTAGACCAGCTGCATTCCCCATCGCGATCACTGCACAAAACCCAGCCTGAATGGACAGACTACTAGGGACAGCAGAC